GGTATTATCTTCTGAAAGTGAAGGAAAAAAAATCATATCGAATTTCATCTCGAATTGCTTTCGTAGCAATTTTTTTTCCGGGGGCGCTGCCCCCGAACCCCCGTGTGTATAAGCCCCCCTCACCAAACTTTCTGGCCTCGCCACTAAATGTGGGTGAATATAAAGTTGAACTAAAGTTTTTATTTTTTATTATTACACAGAAAATTTGAATCCTTAATATGAAGGTTGGGCAGGAAGATGTATGTGTAGTTACACAAAATTAGGTTTGATGAAAAGGGTGAAAATGATATTTCAACTAATCAAGCTTGCTTTGGTTAAATTAAATACTGCCTTAACTCCCACATGCATGTATTTCTCATCTTTCCACTTTTTGGACCATTAATTAATTCTATATATAATCAATTATTAATCTAATCTAATTAATTAATTTCCACACTCTAGGGTTTTAGAGTGGCACATTAAGGTTTCTTAATTTAATTTGTCGGCTGTGTTAATTGATTGATTATGATCCCTTGTAAGTTTTTGAGACTATGTATAATTATTAATTAGTGACAAAATTATATAGCAACACCTTCCCTTTAATGATTGATGATTTTGATTAGTGTATGCCGACAACACTGCATTTGCAACATTAGAACGAAAAGAAAACCTAATTTCTTTGAGATTAATAAATTCATTTCACACGCCAAAAGATGGATTTGCCCTCACACAGCGGCGAATTCAGGATTTTTGCCAAGGTGGTTCGAAATTGTAGAATAAAAAATTTAAATGTCACTTTATAAAAATAGTGGACCAAAAATTGTAAGTGAATTGTGGAAATATTTAAAGCGAAAAAATGTGAAATTTATAAAAATAGTAGACCAAAAATTTACAATTTACAAATTTTAGGTGAATTGTGGAAATATTTAAAGAGAAAAAAGGTGAAAATGTTAGGATTTGAAAAAGAAATCAGTTTTTGAGAGGGTGGGTTTCAAACCCGAAACCTACAATTCAATGAGGAAATATCTTTACCACCTCAACCGTAAATTTATGTATAACAGTATACTTATATAAAATCAAGGGTGTGCAACTGCACACCCTAGACCATAGCCAGATCCACCGCTGTCCTCACATACTAAATATACTATACGTCTCGTTCGGTTGCCATTATTAAGTCCGGTCGGCTATAAGTAGGAGTTTCTAACACGTTCAGTTGGCAAGATTCTCAACCCAATAAAAGTTGAATGTCACAATTAAATGTTAGGGTAAATTACAAACTCTCCTGAACTTATGCTAAATTACGAAAAATACACTCACATATCCATAATTATCAAAATTCCCTCGATTTTGTTTCCGTCTAACACCGACCACCTTACGGTGTGATTTTTCACGGAATATTCCCAAAAAGATGTTGATTCTACCCCTAAACAGTCTCTTAAATATAGGTGACATTGGTAAACCTTCTATAGTAACCTGATTTCCTTCAACATCATATTGCAATGTCAGTGCACTTTCTGGATTGCTAATATGAATCATCAAAGCATTCATCGACAATTTTTTAAACATTTGTGCTTGGCTACCTTTAATATATTCAACGTCTGCAGGGTAGAATCGATATGTTTTTTCGTAATTTACCCTAAATGGTAATATCCAATAAAAATAAAATCGAAGATTTTTATTGGAAAGAATATGTGTGGACAACAAATAGACAGCAGGGAGTAAGAAGTCTTTTCGCAACAATGAGAAATAATAAAGACAATCGCAATCGTGGGGGCGAGGCTGTGCAAATGCACACCCAACTAATTGTCTCTCTAAATGTGTGTCTAATTGATACACTCCTTAAGTAATATAATTAATTAATTAATTTTTTTAATATTTCTGAATTAATACTATTTAAGGAAATTTATTTAATCATTTTCGTTGGCTTTCACAATCAGACTAGTACATTGGTTCTGCCGCTGACCTTAATTCCTGTTAACTGAAAATGAGGTGCGTAATTGTCACCTCAACAACAATCTAATCTTTGTTAGTAGTACTATTATCTATCAATAATGATATTTGTATCGTTTGTCTCAAATCTTTTAACAAAACTGACACGTGGACGGTGGAGATTCAACTATAAAAAGAAACATTATTAATTCATTAGCTATTTGCAAATTATTCATCCAGAGAAAAATACAACATGGATGACATTTCTCCATCTCTACAAATATTGATGATTTAAGTTGTAAATGCCACCATGATTTGGTGAGGCAGTTGGCATTATTGGTATAATATATTAATAAAATATTATTATTATTATTATTATTATTATTATTATTATTATTATTATCTGATGTGATTTGTAGTCAATTAATCACCTCAGAAACTATAGTGTATCTTGCTTATATAGATATATTGATATTACAATACTACCAATATTTATCATTTAAAAAATAGTTCAAAACAAGAAGAAAAATAAAGAAAAGCAAGAACCACAATAATGGGACTGGTCCCCAAACAATAATCAGAAAAATCTATTATTTTTATAATTTTTTAAATCGCTGGAATTCATTGAATTTTCTAAAAAATCTAGATTTGAGTAAACGCAAGTTTCGTTTGCACAGAATCAATGCAAGTTTTGTTCGACGTATTTCTTACCTAATATCAAGTCTTTGCATTCGGATCAAGTTTCCTGCATGAGGCTCTAACTGAACAACGATTCAGCAAGCAGAAGAATGTTAGATTAATTGACAAAATGACCGTAATCTAACCAAAATCTCATGATTACAAAACTGTCGTTTTTTCTAAGTCGAACTCTCGGTTTTTCAGAATCTCTCTTAAGAAAAAGGGAAGTTTTCTGCTACAACAGTGAGTGAGGTAGGTACTTCCGGACTAATTTCTTCCAAATAAATAAACCTCGAAGTCCCTAAATTTTAATACACAAAACATCACCTCCATTACATGCTTCTGCTTACGGTCAACTGTTTGAGTGTGCACATCTACTTCTTCTTCTTTGATTTGTTGGACTGAGATTGAGTATAAGCAGTTCCCTGAACATATTAATAAATATAAGCCATTATTCCATCTTGCTAGCGTCAATATAAAACAAAATAAAACAAAACCAGAAGTCAAAAATAAAAATCGAAAATATAAAGAATGTGAATGCAGTCATACAAACCTGCAACCACTCGTCCATTGAGGCATCAGTTGTCCCGGTTCCAACTTCCACCTTTGGTGCCCTCTTGGTTTTCTGATTATCAAAACCGAGAGAAAAAAAAGGTGAATAAATTTTTCATAAATAAATGCATTTGCTAAATACATCAAGTGAACGTCAAAAAGTAAGATCCTTTGTCCAATTTTCGAGCCATATATATATTACTAAATTGCAAATCACAAAAGTGAAAAGTTGAACTGGTAATGTTTTCAACTAACACTCGTTACTTACCCCCCCCCTTTTTACCTAACAACAATCAATCATCAATTAAGCATTTTTTGACTAACATATCTGAGTTTATACAAGTGTATTAGCATTAGAGATACCAATTGCAGATTTACTTCTATCATGAATGTAATAATGGCTTAAAGCAATTGCAAAAACAAATAGAGACAATTGCAGGAAATTTTTTGCACATATTCTAAAGGCTACGGCATGCCAGAATTTAGTGGCCAGCAAACAATACCATTTGCTAGCTCTTAGTTATTGCTATTTTTTTATATTTCCTGAACTTTCTATAGCACGTACATTGTTCGATGCTTTCTGAAACCTTTCGTAGCATAATTAAGAATTAGTACAAGCGAAAAAGAAAAAAAGAAAATTAAGATTACCTTGGAAAATTGTTGAATTTGGTTACGTATCCAAAATCCAAGAAGACCAAGAAGAGCTATTCCAAGGCAAAACAAGAATACTGACTCAACACTGAACATGCCGCCTGACTCAGTAACTTCAATTGTCCCGTTGTAGAAGGTACTCTGGTATGGGTGTTGGTCAATCTCATAAACGATAGTTCCCACAAGATCATATGCACCAGCCTGTAAGATGAATCAAATAAATAAATAGCAGCGGAATGAGCCACTAGATGTAATAGAAAATATGAAGGAAAACTTAAAACATTTTCTACAACTTACCTGCAAAAACTTGCTAACGCCAAATATATAAGGGAAAGAAGCTTGAGATGACGGGGGAACTGATGCATTCTTAAAAGCCTAAAAGAAACAAAATATTCACATTACGAACAAAAGCCTACAAGAAATCATATTAAGCAAGAAAAAAACAAAGGCAGTTCCTGATCCATAATTTGAAGATACATGTTATGTCTGATGGAATTATGTAAAACTGGAAAACATTAAATAGCTCAACCAACTCAAACAAGGCGCTAACTCAAACGAGGAATATGGAATACCAATAAGCGGGATAACTATGATAAACCAGGATGACATGTTAACATATGGTAATGGTCAAACATTTTGTGTTTGTATGTTTATAAGCCAGAAACCAAAGATAAAATGTTTTTCATTTATAATTTTCGTACATCACAAGACTTACAAAGATATGTCCTGATGGGACAGAAAACAATTTCTAGCAGCATAGGCTGACAACATAAACATAGTCCATTGACTTCACCAGCATAACTAGGATGAGATTTTTTTACGGACACAGATTAACTGCACATAAAGTAAAGATGTGATACCTGGGTAGAAAGATTCTGAAGCAAGTAGTGGTAATTATAAGGAAGATGAACGCTAGCCTGGATGGCAATGACATTAATAACTGATTGCCCTGTGATTATATCAAAAACACGATAAGTAACAATTAGCTCTGCAAATAGTTAACAGTTGCACCTACATGAAAACCAATATTAGATGAAGGGAGTAAAAGCCAAAAATAACAGCTAAATAAATAAAGGCTAGAGGGTATGACACGACAGACAAAATTCAGAAGCAAGTGACAGAATAAGAAACAAAACTTCATTAAATGAAATGATTAGAAAACACTTGAGCACAACAATTCAACAAAGCATTACCGTCATTTTTAATTCCAACGAGAAGTTCACTTTCTTCACCAGCCACTACATCTGCAAAATGACAGGACTAAGTTAGAGACACAATTCAAAGGACAATAGAGAGAAACAAGAATACACCAGTTGGCAATAAAGATATCAGTCAATGATTTTTTTCTTCCTATTATCTTATTTGTTTTTCGGGGTGGGGGCGGTAGAAAGTACAAAAACAATCACTAACTTTTCGAGGGGTTTTTGGGAAAAAGACAAACTGTTTCCACTTCTGGAGCTGGACTGAAATTCCCACTGCTAAAATCTTGGACATCATCACCAACAATCCCGAGATCCGCTCCTTCATCAGCTGACTCAACAATATCTGCGTCAGGGTCCGGCTCACATCTTGCAACTACCAAGCAAAATAGTGTAGTTAAGATACTGTTGAGTGTATGTAGTTGTGCTCAAGTATAATTTGTATGGATCATAGAAACCTTAAAAATTAGTTCGAGGATCCAAGTAAATTAGAAAACAGGATTTAATCTAAAACATGAAATTAGTACAGACTACATAAGTGGATAAAGGGGAAACTGAATTATAAGGACTGGTGAGGAACACAAAATCGGCAAACTGTTTCTTCAAACAAATGAAATAAAAAGCTTAAATCAACCCCTTCAAATCTGGATTCAGTGAGATTTTCGAAATAGTGAAGTCCATTTCACATCGGAATGCAGACTCAATTTTAACAGAGTATCCCTCAAATAGGACAGCTCTCACTCATTATTTATACCGACTCCCAGGCACTAAGGCAAACAATTGAAAAGGGAATGCATTCAGAATACTCGATCATTAAAAGCTTTATCAACTCCATAACTAACACAATCTCAAATCTCAACACATAAATACTAAAAATCAATATATAAATAAATAAACGCCAATTAAACGATATAAATCAGCAAAAAACATGAAAATGAGTCTCGATCTGATTTTAACGGCGCTACAGGCAAAACCAAATGCAGATGAAACACTAAACCCTAGAAAAATTCACGCTGCAATTCGAAATTATCCGTGCATGTACATGCACAGAGACATGGATGCTTAATTACAACTGTAACTTAAAAAAAAACACACAGTTTTCCCCAAAAAAGAAAAAAAAGAGCAGAAATCAAAAGTGGAGAAATCTGAATAGAATAAGGATCTGGATCTGAGATGCATACCTTGAAGAATTGATGAAGAGAGAAGGAGCAGGGAGAGGGCGAGGATGAGAAAACCCCTAATTGACATTTCGCTTCTTTATTATTGCTTAGAACAAAACAGAGTGTTGTGAGAATGGGGAATTGTGTGCGTGAGGAACGAGAAACAAGGAAAACCTTTTTAACGCGTGGACCGGAGAGGGTCAAAACGGGTAAAAATTATTTCATGGGCCACAAGTTGAAATATCCAGTTTCATGTGGCCAAAATGCAAATATTTCATATCTCAGTACGCGCGATCGTTGACCTAGTCGACGGAGTTTAGCCACTTCATTTGGACCTTTGGTTATGTTGTCAATAAAATTAAAACTTAATAAAATTATATTTCTATATTATTCTTGAGATTACGTTTAACAACAATTAAACTTTATTTAGTTTGAAATTAGAGTTTTAATTAAGGTTAAAATCCAAGTCAAAATCAATTAAAAATATTTTTAATAAGTAACTGCGATTAGTTTTTTTTTTCGTTTGAAAATTGACAGAAATCACTCCAGTTTAATTGAGGGTAGAAATGAAAGTCAATACCAATTAATGACATTTTGCCATTTTTATCAGCTACTAAAACAAATCTTTTAGATAAATTACACAAAGCCCCCACTAGTTTAGGTGTAATTATATTTAGATCCTCAAGTTTAAAAATTTACCAAAAAAAAAACCTTACTTCGAACAGAAAAAAAGAAGAAAAAAAAAAGAGTTGGGTTCAACAGTTAGTTCTGATACCAAGTGTTGTGACACCAATAGTAGAATAAAAGTTCCTTGAATTTAGACATAAAACTAGATTTGTTCTAACTGCTGAAAGATCAACAGCTAAAGACCAAAGGAAACTAGCACTGAATTAAATCAATCCCCATGGATAGTGTATCGCTCCCATTTCTTTGTCGGATCGTATATCTGCACAATGAAGATACCAGGATTTACAATCAAACGGAAGAAGGTAAAAAAAAAAAAAAACTCGTATAAGGTTACCGAGTATAGTGAAAAAAACTAGAGAGAGAGAGAGAGGGGCGTAGGTTTACCTCCCATCTTGAAGCTGGAAATATATGCTTGTTCTTCTCATACCAATGTCTCTCAACAACTTTACCAGCATGCGACTGTTGACAAAGTATGCTAGATTACTTCAGTGTGTGGATGATAATGTCTATCCAACTTCCACAGAAATCACAATAGTCGTGCAGATAGATAAATGCATTATAATTGATATATTCAATTAGCTAGTATGGCATATATATGTCAACCCCAATACAGAGCACGAACAATACATACACATACATACATAAGCCCCTCAAGAATATTCATAAAAGATGAAAAGGAATGGAACTTATGCAGTTATTAAAATAATTCACAATTTTAAATTTATGGAGGGAGTCCAAAAACAAACACTTGCATCACTATATATTAAATTGAATACTGGAAATAAATTCTGCTATATAAACCAAATATGCAAATACGGGACTCAAAATGTAGCTCCTCCATATTACTTCTTGAGACCATAAAAGTGACAAAACATGAGACTGATTTCCCATTACAAGTGGAACTAATGTTATGTCAAGAAACCTTACCTCATCTTTCTCTTTTGTCGCGTCAGCAATAGTCCGAACATCCTCATGTACGTCAAAATGGAAAAGCTGTAACAAACCCAACAGTTTAAAACACATGCACCAAAAATTTCGTTCAACATTACATGTTAAGAGGCTACTAGAAGAATTTATTATATTATTAGACAGTAGGGCCAAGAAAATAATGAAGAATGGGCCAGGATTCGCCTCAAGAACTCTGAAATAGAGGAATCTGGCCAATATCATGTTATATCAACTGACTCTCAGCTGAAACGTAAATTTATGACATTATACTGAATTTCTTCGCTCAAAATGCAAGAGTGTTGTACGTCTCAATTTAACCTTTTCCATTAGCAACAACAAGTACATAAATGAGGCATCCCGAGAATTTCTATTGAAAGAATTTCAGTATAACTTCAGCACCAAGTGCTGAGGATTGCAAATCAACCCCTTTTTCCACATCCATTTTGACATCAAGAAAGGAATAAATTCCAAGCTAAAGTTTACAATCATAATTGATGATCAAATCCTCTCATAAATCTATTTTTCTTGAAGTTGTTCAGTAGAGTAATGGTCTGAAGGAAATTTTATGTGGCCGACGACTTATGGTGTATCATTAGAACTAGTTTTTAATGATGATAATAAAAATCACACAAATTTGAATTAAGCAATCTATTCACGAAAATATAGTTAGCTCATAATACTTCAAATGCGCAAATGTTTAGAGACTGAAAATCAAGACATTACCGGTCCACTTTTGCCTCTAGCCTTGTTCACAATCAGCTCATAGAAACTGTGTTGCTGTAACATGAAGAGGAATTTTAACACGTTTTTGCAATTTATAAATTGGGACAAGATGAGAAAAGTGTATGAACGAAGGTCTTACATGTGGAATGATGAGATCTTCTTTCACATAAAGCAAGTTCTCAACTGAAGTAGTCCGAACTTCTCGGAACTCAGGAGAAAGCTGCTGCTGAACAGCACGAAGAAACTCCCCTATTGTATCACCTTTCCGAACCTGATAGGTTAAACGATACACTTAATGAGTTTCAACAAATCCCTTTAAAATAAACAAATATGAAATCAGAAACATAATAGGTCGTTGAATAAGACGAATATGAGGTAATCATAAACCTGAGTCACTCGTCGATGGCCAGTACCATCCCAATAACTGTAAGTGATTTGAAGAGGCTCGTCTAAAAGATACAAAAAAGGGCATTGAAATCAGAAAAAAGTTGCTTAATATGAAATTTTATACTCATTAGTGCACGTTAGATTTCAAGACTAACTTTTGATCTGTGCCTGCTCAAGAAGCCACTGTTTGCGCAAACGTTCACGCTCAGCCTGTTCCTCTGCCTCCCTCTCACTGTAAGAGTGTGCTTCAAACTCCAAAGATCAAGGATGAGTAAAAAGTTGAAATTCATGGGCAAGTGATTTAATAGAAAAGAACGAATACGCAACAACCATGTGTGAATATTTAAACTGGTACAGATCTAAAAGGGTAAGAAGTGAAAGGAATACAAGGGTAAAAAAGAAATGGATAGATTACCCACCTATCGGGCAAAAAGCTGGTTTCGACTGTAGGGTCTTTTCCAAGTTTTCCGAATTTTCGGCGGCCATGGCCTTCAGAGTCTTCATCTTAAGACACATAAGACAAGAAAATGCATCAGTGAGGATTGTTAAAAATCATGTGCTTATTCGATCAACTTTTCAACGAAACGGTAACTGAAACTCGATACTAGTTACAATAAACAAAATTTGTATCACATTAGACAGTTCAGACTGAGGTGATAAAGAACATATATAGAAATCAAGTCTGGCCAAATAAATGATATCCACCTAAGTAAATGATTTCCTTTCAAAAGCAAACTATCCTTTAGTGAATGACCCTAAGCAAAAATAATATAAAAATAATAATAGAGACATGCAAAAAGAAACTAAGTCGTGGAAAATGCGAAATTTGTTTCTTAAAAAATTAAAAGGATCAGCTCTGGAATGCCAAAAGATATAATGGAGTATTGAAATATCAAAGAGGTATCTCCTAGAATAATAAGAAGGGTAATCGAATCAGGCGGAGATGCAAATCCATATATTTAAAGATTTGTACAACAAATACTAACTAACCACATCAATAACTAGTGCTGAAAGTACGAACAAAGATGCTTACTATTTTCCTCGTCTTCCTCCTCATCGAAGCTCTCAAAATCATCAGCAAAAGATAGTCGGGGGTCCGCCTTGATTTTCCGCTTCTTCAATTTCTGCAACTGAAGCTCCTCCTCCCTTCAAGAAAGATAAAAAAGATATTAAAAAAACATGAAATAAATAACAAGATTATTGCAAATAATATTGGCAACTCACTCTTGCTGCAACTTTAGGAGCTTCTCCTTCTCTTCCTCTTCAAATTTGTTCTTAATATTCACTCTCTGCAACACAAAAAGTACGTATTGAACCACCGAAAAATCCAGGTAAAAGGGAGGGGCAAAAAAAAAAAAACCAAAAGAAGAACTACTCAAAGTACCTTCTCAACATATTGTTCTCTAGTCACTAGACCAACGGTTTCTTTCTTGAATGCAGTCTCGAGAATCTGAGCAATAAACACAAATAGTTCAAAATCAATAAACCAGTAACTATAAGGTACTAACATCATCGGTATTGTTTCTAGTAATTAAAAAAACAAAAACAGAAATGCAAGGACTACTCCTCCCTCGTTTCAATTGAAATATGTGGGGGCAACTTCAAATTGTGTATTAATTGGTGATATCAAGTTAAATAATGAAGTACATCATATACATACGACCTAATCGAACAATGTGATATCTAGCTAAGAAATTATGCACTTATGTAGCTCGAAAGGGAAAATGAGATGGATACCTCGGAGGTGCTGGAACCGAATTGAAGGAGACCAGGTTGGCCTTGTGAAGAGGCGGTTTTGTTCTTGAGCTCTTGGATTTTGCGGCGCTCGGCTTCTCTCTGCTTCTCCAGCCGTCGGATTCGAACGGCGTCCTGCGCCGTGCCCACGTAACCGTCGCCCATACCCGCCATGATTGGATTGATCCTCGACGAACTAGGGTTTGGATTCGCCGGTTATTTTAGGGAAATTGAAATTGAAATTGAAATTGGGGGTTAGTGCCTCGATGAGGTCGTGTTTTAATTGGAATGTTCTTCAACCGCGACTATAGCGTACTTTTTCTTTTCTTTTTTAATTATTTGGGCTTGTGAAGAAGGGAAATTGGGCCGGGCCGGCCCATTTTGGGCCAACCAAAAATTCCAACAACTCATCTACATACAAATAGAGTAGGGTTGCAGACAAATATAAATAAATATATAAGCTTCTTTTTGGGCCTTCATTTTTATTTTAATGAAGTGGGCTGAACTATGGGCCTTTTGGGTCAATAAACTCCATCAAAAACTATTTTCCTTTATTATTATTATTATTAAATTCTAATTTTTATTTTTTCCTTTTATTATCGAGAAAAAAAAAATATAAACCGGGGGCGGTGGTAGTCACGCACCACCAAATCGCGTGGTGCAACGTGGTAGGTGGAGGCGATTTAGCAATAAAAAACGACGCCACATATTAGAGAGATGTTTCTCTGACCCCTGGTATTCAGATAGAGAGATAACACTGAGTGAACTCAGAGTTACAGTACCAACAATCCCCCCACCAATGGCCGTAGTATCCACCTCACTCAGCGGCGCCACCGCCGTCACCGGCCAGTTGACTCAGTTCTCCGGCCTCCGCAAATCTTTCCTCAAGCTCGACAACTCCAATCACAACTCGACTCAGTCGCTTTTCCAAAATGTCGACTCGCATCTCCGCCTCGCTTCCTCTAATAAAGGCTGCCGCGGCGTCGTTGCCATGGCGGGATCCGGCAAGGCGAGTCCCAATTTTTTTTTTTTTGTTGCCTTTTTTTTTTTTTAATTCTGGTTTAGTTATTGGTTTATTACGTGCATTTCAGATCTGAAAATAAAAAATATATATATAATTGCACTTAGGGCTAGCTTTTGAAATAAAATTTATTTTGAGGAATTAATCGATATCATAAGAAAGATGTTTATGTTCATGTATAAATGATCGATCAGTACCAGTGAATACTATAGATTACAAAGATCAACAATACTGGTGCATTTTTTTTTTTTTTTATTTTGCCTTTTGTTATTTGAGTTATGTGTAGACTGCAATGCTTCCAATTCATTTCTCATGTCTACTCTGAAAGTATTCCCAGCCCAAATTCTCTCTTATGCTTTGAATTTAAAAATTTCATGTAAATTCCTTGTTCAAAGTAATGATTTTTGTTTCCCTTTTGCTTGCAGTTCTTCGTTGGTGGAAACTGGAAATGCGTAAGTATTACTTTTCACCATTCGCCAACTTTCATTTTTGTTGCTTTTGCTTTGTCATGGACTCATGGTCAATTATTTGTAGCTTCCTTTTACTTTAAGTGAGATGTTGATTTGCGTATTAGAAGTTCTATGATAAGGTGACAAGTGATAGACAATGAATCGATCTTCTATTTATAGCGAGTCTGGCAAGTTATCGAATCAATAGATGTACTGAATTTATTTAGGGAAGAGGATACATAGAGGATACTGAAAGGACCTAAGAGCACAACATACAAAAAATCCAAAATTTAATGAATGCTGAAAGTTAACACTTGACAGGAGAAACAAAAGGATTATAGTGTAATGTAATGTATAATTGTGTCTGACCCATTACAGGAAGGCAGTCCATCATATGCCATTTATAACTTGCTTCTGAGTAGCATATATTATAATGTTTATCCAAGATTCTTCATGTTCAGCTTCACACGGGCTATAACTTGTGCTTATTTGACTGTTCTTATTATGAATTCTTCTTTTAGATTTTTTCTCCTCATGTCAGAAATAAGCCATATTTTTATGTTGATTTGTCTTGAGTTGAAGAACTGAAATCTACCAAAGTTACAAGGGGCCATCCAAATCCTAGTATTTTAAGACCTATCAACGTGATTTGTTGTTCATTTGTTCTCCTGTTGGTCTGAAGATACATGTTTAAAGCATTATTGTTTCTATCTTCTGATTACACTTTTCCTTCCTGGCTTGTGTTGTTCGAATTGACTCAGAATGGGACGAAAGACTCCATAAGCAAGCTTGTTACCGAATTGAACAGTGCTGCATTGGAATCTGATGTTGGTGAGTTCTTATGTACTATCAATACTTGGTGTTCATTTCATTTGGATAAACTAAAGCTTGTAAGTTGTACTTATTTTTGGTGGGTATCTCTAATTTGTGGTTATGATTTTGTTGGCTAATATATCTACGTTACCTCAATCATTGCAGATGTTGTTGTAGCTCCTCCTTTTGTTTACATTGATCAAGTAAAGAGCTCGTTATCTGATAGGATCGAAATAGCTGCCCAGAATTGTTGGGTTGGAAAAGGTGGAGCTTTTACTGGAGAAATTAGGTGTGTGATTTCTGTACATGTTGATGCAATCTCTACTCCACGACTTTGTTCCTTAATTGGTACTCTGTTTGTGACATGAAATATAATTTACTTTATCTTCTAACTTTTTTCCTGAAAAACTGTGTTTTGTGATTTCATTGCCCTTGGATGGGTTATCTCCTATAGCATTTGCTCTGTTTTCTTCTATTGGCCTTAGAAAGGGCACTTGGTCTTTCCAATTTGGAAATGGTTATTTTTTTTTTTTTGCAACAACCATCTTATTTGGTGGTGTACAATTAAATGGACACTTAATTTCGTTCGATTGCATACTGTTTAATTGCTTATGTTGCCTTCTTCCTTCACACCTGATCTGGTATTTTCGTTGAAACATTTGAGACTTCATTGTGCTTGATTCATGTGTAGTAATAATAACACAAGTAATCCTTTTATTCACTGCAGTGTGGAACAAATTCAAGACCTTGGATGCAAGTGGGTTGTTCTTGGGCACTCTGAGCGAAGACATGTAATTGGAGAAGACGATCAAGTAAGAGCAATTGAAAGATGTTTTCATCTCTTTACATATAATTTAGGAAAATAATTTGACAGAATATACCGTAGTTTTATCATGTTTGATAAGTTTCCACCTTTTCTAGTTCCTACTAAATCTGTTCTATGTTTCAAAGCCTGATCAAAAGTACTTCTTCTGTAGTTCATCGGGAAGAAGGCTGCATATGCCCTGAGTCAAGGTGTAGGAGTAATCGCATGCATTGGGGAGTTACTGGAAGAAAGAGAAGCTGGAAAAACCTTTGATGTTTGTTTCAAGCAACTGAAGGCTTATGCTGGCAAGTTTACACCCACACCCACAAAATATATATATATATATATATATATATATATAGAGAGAGAGAGAGAGAGAGAGAGAGAGAGAGAGAGAGAGGCATATTGATTAACCGTTTATAGTGCTCGAATGATGTGCAGATGCTGTCTCAAGTTGGGATAACATTGTGGTTGCATATGAGCCAGTATGGGCAATTGGAACCGGTAAAGTGGCCTCACCAGAGCAGGCTCAAGAAGTGCATCTAGCTGTTCGCGAGTGGCTGAGCAAGAACGTATCAGCCGAAGTTTCTTCTAAAACACGTATCATTTACGGAGGTACATAATATTCAATTTGTAGTTTTCCTGTTCAGAAAATTCTCTTCAAGAATCCACTACTTAATCACATAATCATACTACATGACCAATAAATATACCACTCCAACTCATAAAGTCTCGATTATTCAAACTTATTGTAACTAGCTAAAACTTTCTAATTATTATTTTTCCCACAGGTTCGGTAAACGGAGGCAATTGTGCTGAGCTTGCAAAGAAAGAAGATATTGATGGATTTCTAGTGGGAGGAGCATCCCTAAAGGTATTTTCTTCAAGATTTCTATTATTGTTGGAGGGGCGTTTTCGTATATCGGCTTTTGGTCTCTAATGATTGGTCGATTCTCGGTTATTTTGTTCTGTAGGGTCCCGAATTCGCCACTATCATTAACTCAGTGACTTCCAAGAAAGTGGCTGCATGATTTATTGGATCAACACAAAGAATAATGGCTCAGAGAATCAAATTAGTACACAGCGGCTGAAATCAGGAGCCATTATCCTCTCCATAAACATGTAGTGATTTATTACAAAACACCCTATCATGTAATTTTTGAATCACAATTCTTTTTCTTCTTCACCAGAATAATAATAATAATGTATTGTAGCAGTGGGTTCAATAAGGTTTTGGTAAAACTTGCACTCTCAATACTAGGAATCATGCATCAGTTTTGGAATTGTTTGTCTGCGTTTTTATCTCATATTTTATTACAAATTTATTTATTGCATGAAGATTTGTACTCATGGCTTTCATTCACTGTATGTGAACTATTGAGATGAGAATAGATACAATTAGTTGTATCTAATACTTATGGTACTTCATTGATCGCAGCATGGGCTATATGCCTATATCTATCTTCTTTATATTCTATATTCACTCAAAGGAGTTGTATTATTCACTGTACCTTTACACACACATATCCATATATATATATATGAATAAAATATTTCATTTATTTTAAATTAATGGCCGCTTAACTTTTCTTGTGCACAAGAAAAGGCTAAACGGCTGATTAGTTTAATTTAATCCACAGGAAATAATAGACAAGGAGAAATCATTACACCTCCACTATGTGTGGATGTGTGTCTCCCACTTCAACAACTTTAACCTCAAAATCATGACTAAATCATGGTTGCGTGTTTTTAGCTTCTCATATTCTTTCTTTATTACTCCCTACACAAGTTCTTGAAAATGAGGCTATGCAATTAATTATTATCCTTGATTGATTAATTGCCCTGCAAACTTATAAAAAACCAAGCTTTGCTTGTTAATGTAATATTAATACTAGAAAAACAGCCATTAACACTTCTTAAAAATGCATTAAAAGAAAATAAAAACTATAAAGTCATAATTCATATAGCAAAATGACCTCATACAAACCAACTTTCAAGAAACACAGACTGGTACTGCACCAACACAAGCAACAACACTATCAAAGCCGCCACCCCCCATGGCGAGCCACCTTCCTCCGACGACCGGAAGTAGTTCCTCCGGCGACTGTCCCACGGCGGAGAAGTGCCGGGGAACCACCACTCCGGCCGGTTCTCAAGAGTCGACAGCCACCTAACGGCAAACAACAAGACAAGTGGGGCAGCCATTAACAGCCACCCCATACTCTCCTCAGCAGCTTCGACTACTGATTCGTACGAAACGTACCATTGAAGGCCGAGGAAGAGGAAGATCAGACAAGAGAATAGCAGAACTGGATATGGCATAGGGTTTAATGAGAAAGCCTCCATTATTGAGGAACTTGTGCTTCTTCTGTATGCCATATTTTTACTCAACGAGTGTGTGTGTGTGTGTGTGATTATGATCTCTCTCTCTCTCTCTCTCTCTCTCTCTCTCTCTCTCTCAATTTCTAATTTTGCTTTTTGGATTTATATTCTTTTGTGGACTGATTCAAGTGACAGTTGAGAAGGATGGCCTGACTAATATATAGCAGAGATGACATAATCTGATTAGATCAGGTGTGCTGCTGTCTACTGGCTTAAGTTGCACCAGCTGTTTGTAGCCGTTGATTTCATTACAGAAAATTAAAAATATAATTTTTTAGACATTCTTCGAGGCTTTTTATAACAGCTCTCTGCGGTCAAGATCAGTCATGATTTTATTGAGATTAATTATTAATTATATCCCTATGTAATTCCACTTACAAGGTGATGATGAATGCCATTTGTTAAGCAACATTTTGATTAGATTTAAAGGGCCCCACACACTATTGCCCTTTATATTGAATTTACACTACCCTACTTTGGTTGCTATAAAAAAATAATAAAACAAAAATTAAAATTAAAATACTTGATCAAGATAGGGCTAAAAAATTAAAAAGTGGAAGAATTGAAAAAAGTGTGCAGTTTTTTGGCACAATTTTTATCACACATTCATTTAGTGTAACCAATCAACATATCACCCAGAGCAGTTTTCTACCTTGAGAGATTTCGCATCTCAATTTGGCATCTAATAACTAACTACAGTTATAAATAGTAATGAAAACCACAAAATCATCTGAAAAAATAAGGCCAAAAAATTATATTAAATTAAAAGATAACTGAAACAAAATTTTCAAAAATTAGACCTCAAACCCATTCATGGGACTTCCGTATTGCCGCTTTTATCACAACATATATATTACCTTATAATAAATTGTCGACTTGTTACACGTTGGAAGAACAAAACTTGGCACAGGTACCAAAGAGAGTGAAATCAGACTTTCCCGGTATATTGGAAATTATTCTCGTAATCATTCCGCAGAGCTGCCAGAGTACTTCTGCACGGACCCTCTACAGAAAACCAAAAAGCAGCAGGAAAAGAAAAATAAATAAATCAGCCACGCATTATAAACTTCGATAGATATATATATATATATATATATATATATATATATATATATATATTAAATCGAACTGAGATGGCTCACCTCCGAATACAGTATGCAGATTTTGAAGCTCATTATCAGCTGAGCACATGTCCAACAGAGCGTACACACCAGGCTTCAAAGCTTCATCTACTTCCCTAGAAAATAGGAAAATCGTCTTATGTGGATGAGAAAGAAAAGAAGAAATAATCTCATTTTCTATAGATCAAGTGAAGATACGAGAGGCGAAAAAAAAAAAACCTTATAAGGCCATTTCCAGCTGGACCAAATCCACAGTAAACCCATATGTAGCGAGACAAGAACTTGAAAGAATGTTCCTTAAATAAATCTTTCTGCTGCCGTACCTGGAGAATTGGTTATTTATTATTAATAGAACATCACGGGAGGGAAAGTCTAACTTAACGAACTGCGTTAACAGAAACTAGAGAGAAATGTGGGGCAGACAAAAGCTGATGCCGCTAACTAGCAAAGTAAACTGCGATAAAAGTTAATGGTATGTAAGCTTATAAGACCAAGACTTGCAAAATAGCTATTAAAGTGAAAGGACTTGGATACAAATCCTCGATTTGATAGACCAACACTACGCCACAAAATTTGACAAAGAATTTAAAAATGATGGTACGCAAAGAAAGAGCAAGATTAGTTCTTTAGAAAGACGTACACGATTTCATGCAGTATACGTATTTTTAGCAATTAAGATAAGAAAAGAAAACACACCTCTTCATACACTCTTCGTAGACAACTGGCACATTTTACTGCCTCTTGTACTTCCCATGAAAAAGACTCTCTTCCATCAACGTGGTGGACATTTACAGTCTCTAAGCAATGAAGAAGAACACTCACTGAATCTTCTAGAAGAGCTATGCAATCGCGAGTCTCACTAAAAGAAACGGAGAGAGAAAAAATATTACAAAAATTCACTCGATAAAAGTGATGATGAACCCACCAAAAAAAAAATAGCATACCTTCCGTGATTTTTAATAGCAGTACATAACATACGGCAAGATATAGCATATAGCTCTACTGAAAACTTTCGATCAAAGGCACATTTGCTTGTTCCGATATCAGATGAAATGTTAACTATTTGTAGCTGGAGTAAGTACTGAAAGAGTGCACCAGGTACACGTAGGCACTGCATCATGTGGCAAGCACCTTTCTTGAAGAAAAAGGGGTTCCGAGAAATTTTTGTAAGAATTTCAACACACATGAGAACAACTGAACCAGAATTAGGTCTCTCGTAAGCCTTGATTGATTCAACGTAATCGTAGAAGATAGTGGGACCCTGCAAATGCAGGATGACATTGAAGAGACAAGCGACTAGGCTCTGTATGTGTTCTTTGATTGTACCTTCTAAATGTTTAGACCCTGCAAAACACAAAAGAAACTGAGAATACTAAAATCCATATTAAATTTTATTACAGCTATTCCCAAAACAACATTATGACTAGTTGCAAAAATTGATGCAGTATGCCTTAGTAATCACAGAAAACTCAGCATTATTTGACGTTCATGAGTATTAGTAATCGAGAATCTTACACCTGAAACTTTTGAACCCACCAATTTCTAGCTAAACTAATATCTAAATAGCAGTATTAGTTTCAAAATACCAGCCAACCCCTATTGCATCTCTAGGAAGTTTTCGTTTTCTGTCTTTGCGATTTTCAAAAAAAACAACAAGAAATGCAAACAATTTATGGCTGCAAGATTAAGTAAATACGATGAGGATGAATTACCGGTTAATAAAAGTTCAAGAATTGAGTCCAAGCAATCAATACCACCAGCAACAAAAGAGGAGACCTCTCCTCCATTTGAACTTCCACAAACTATTTCGTAATTTGCCATCACGCCTTTCTGTTCACCAACTAAAGCTCTCTCAACAGCCACAATAACAGATAGTAAGTGCAACTCAGATGACTTCTTCTCCATGTACTTTCTAAACGAAATCCTCAATCTTTCCTTGAACTCGTCTAATCGATTTGTTTCCAAAGAAATACAAGACTTTCCCTGATTATCTAACTTTGCTTCCTTTTTTTGCAAAGAGATGCATTTTCCGATGACCTTCAAGTGTAAGCCAGTCATCTTGGAATAAAAGTCTCGGGACAATGAAGGATCAAAACGTGGAAAGTAACTACCTAGCTCTTCCAGAAATTTTACAGCACCATCTAACCAAAAGAAAGCAAATTGATGCGGCATTTCCTCACTTCTTGAAAATTCCAAAAGCAGAAATTGAGCAATATCTACCACGATTGCAAATAAGCTCCACGGTATAGAAGTCAGGTCAATCTGCATGTTCAACCTGACAACAACTGAACAAGCCATAAACAGCTGACCGAGAAAGAAACTTGCCTCGGCATTCTCGCCTCTGAAAATTTGCATTAACAGGGATTTTTTCAAACAAAGTTTCTGATGTTGAACCTGAGATAGGAAAGCTTCAAGGTCTGAAATTGCAGGGCAGGATTGCTCCTCAAGATTGCGTTTCATAAGAACATCCTTCGTACCAGACGATACCATTTTCCCTGACGGCTGATCCTCAAGAAACGATGCTTTTATAAGAAAACTTATAAAATTCATGCATGAATGTACAGAGGAATTAATTCTGGTCATCATTTTGGTATTGTTGCTCAACTTCATTCTGAAACTCTTATTGTCCAATGTAGAGGCCAGGCCCCACAATAGTCCCTGGAAACAAGCAATTGTGGACGATAATTTATTCAAATCTTGACATCCCTTGTGAAGAAACTCGTCCTTGAAAGTGGTGAGAGACTTGTGCATGTTTTCGTCTAATGTGTCAGTTAATTGTAAGACACTTTGAAGATTGCATTCGGATATGTCAGGCTCTACGGTTCCAGGTTTTAGGTTTTTTCTTTTTCGACGAAGCTTCCTATCAGAGAGAATAGAGCCAATTTCATGATGAAATTGATCTTTACTTGCTAACAGCCACGCGTAAGATGTGTAATGCAACATTGAAAATATAGCAACTTTAGCTTCAAAAGCATTATCTTCTGGAAATGTATTTTGAACTCCGATTACAGCTGACAGTGATTTTAGAAGCCATGGCAGAGGCAGTGAGCATTTTAAACTCCCACTCACATTTACTTTTCCAGACGCTAAAGCTAAAGTAGGAAGAACCTTCCGACAGGTCACCAATAATCGAAAGATCTGATACGGATTGTGAGAGCATGATTCACGGCGCCATTCTAATAAGCTGCTAACTAAAAGCCTGAAATGCACAGATATATTTAGTCCACTGCACAGTTATATTCGAAGATTACTACAAAGTAGTATAAAGTGATAAATGCAAACACAAGTCAACTATACATACCTTTCAAGGTTGAGAATATAGGTGATATACAGTGATGATGATTCCAAACTCAAATATTCTTCTGGCATTTGCACTAGAAGAGTGAGCAAACGTTGACATTTTGCAAACTCGACATTAATTTGCTCGTTGCCATTCTCAGCAGGCACCATATCTGGTTTCCTCCACGGAAAACCACCAATTTGCACATCAGATGGTTTTTCAACTTCAGATAAAACCTTGATCCAATCAGGCGACTCACTCAAATCAACTCCAGAAGTAGCAAATATAGATGACACTGACATCTGCAAAATCTTGCAGAAGCTTGATGCCATATATCTGCAAACAAACTGAGATAGAAGGTCACTGACAACATGAAAGTACAGGAAGTAGAAAGCAGAAAGAAAAGAAAAGAAAAAAGATTGCAGACTATTAACAGAGATTCTTGGCCTAACGCAAATTAATTAGTGTGAGAACTTCTCCAAATTGAAATAACCAACAAATTTGAAATTCGATATATTGATTATTAAAATGAGAAAATGTGATTGGGAAGGAAAGAAATCAGATGGAGGAGAATAAAAATATTGTTATCTTACTCTTTGTTCATATGATATGGTGTTGCTCAAAAACTCCAACGCAATCTGATAGGCAGTTACTTTCTCCAGATAAATGGGCTTGTTCGTTGTAGAGTGGCAATTATCCTCATTTATATACGAAATGGAAGCCTGAATAACAAGAGTCAAAAATTTCTTCAAGTCCTTTTTGGCAGCATGTGAGCACCAAATATCAACATGTTGGCAATTGGTCCACCATAATGCATATGCCAACGACTTCTCCTCCAAGGACCCTACAGAAAAACTCTTGTCTATTCCACCACCAAATGACGGAGCAAATATCTGGTCCTTGTAAATTGACGAAAGGGACTCCATCATGAATTTTGTAAGACCAACAGCTTCGTTTCTCATTCTCGTAACACGCTTTTCCCATTTTCTACATGAAGAATCATCAGCATCTTTCCACTGAAGCTTGTACTCAGAAGACCGTATCAATAAGTTTAACTCAACAAGTCTCTGAAGAGCCACAGCATTTAATACCCACACCAATGGTGGGCAAAGTACAACAGAATCTTGAGTACAAATATCTAAAACAGAATGTATAACATCAAGAACAGTTGCCGGAGGTTGAATAATCGAGGACAAGAGGTCTTTTCCAAAAGAACCAGCCATCTCCAACCAATCACTTGCAGGACGAATGGTTAATGAATCACTCATTACTAGAGACATCTTTTCTGATTCACGAGGAGCCACAAGTCTGATTGTTTGCCTAAATAAGCTCCTGTAGGACAATATTAAACGAAAAAAGACCACCAAGATCCAGCATATAGACACATTGTCACATCCAGTACTCTTACTCAAACTTACTCCATCAACCAAAACACAGATTTCTTGTGATGAAACCAGGTTACTTAAACCAGGGCGTATAATTTCTAGCAAATTCGTCAAGGAAACACCAAGAAGATAACTATTACCAGAAGTGACTGTTATTGAATCCAGAATGATAATATATACTTCAGACAACACCTTCCCCAAGAGTTCTGCTCGCAAACGAAACTGCAGTGAGTCGCATTTATTTGATTTTTCAGTTTTCAGCTGATGCCCACATTTTATCCAGTCTAGAGATTCCATAATATCTGAACTTAATTGCTTAATGCATCCAGATGCTTGCCCTTCTGGTATTGCCTTAATAGCATTGCCGAGAGAGAGCCTAAATTTTGAAGAGCATAATAACATGCTCAATGCATTTGAATAGGAGGCAAATTGAGTATATGCTTCACTGTCTCCGACGAGTGACGACGAATGCCTCAGTGCTCTACAAAGTGAAGATATAGAAGAATCCACCTACAATAGTTCAATTCATAAATTCAGAAAACTGCAATCTTCGGTCAGACGGGATACCATAAAAAGAAAGCGGAAAGAATGTAATGCGTAAAGTTGAAAAAAGAATAATCCAGTTCCATACTTCTGCTATTACGTCTGTTCAGGCAAATCAAATACTTCATGACAGATTCACTATCCATGGCAAAGGGAAATATGGTTGAATGCATAACTTTCAAATACTAAATGGCAAGATGTTGATTGTTCTACAGATGTAGAAGAGAACAGCTTATATTACTCTTTCATGCAATAAACAATCGTGTACATATGCAGTAACATAATTTATAAATGTAAGCTTCAATCTTCAAAGAGATAAAATGAGAGAAAAAATTAAGATAAAGCTGCTTATTTCTCGTTCTCGAGGCCATATAATAAATTACACTGAACTTTTGGTTCATGCAAATGACAAAGCAAACAAAGTTACACACACACACACACACACACACACACACACACACACACACACACACACACACACATATATATATATAAATATGTACATATATGCATCTCTCTGACCTGCCGAAGTTCACTATAAAGATCAATCAGCTTGCACCCTAGGCGAAGTATCTCTGAGAACAGTAATGGTTGACCCTCCACATCCATTGAGCTATAGCAGCATGCCGTAGAGGAGAAAACCATGGCCCATAAGCTCTCTAAATCATCCCCCACAACCTCATACTCAATGTCCAACAAGTGATGTACTGTAACAATAAGATCCTTTCTAACTGAAATATAGAGTGAGTTCTGTGATTTTTCATCTGATCCACAAGAAGATGCTTTTTTATGGGAAATTTTAGAAGAGATTGACATGAGCGTGTCATAGATTAACTTCAGAAAATTCATGGCAGCCCCTTCAGACGTATCCTCTGTTCTTAGATATAGCTTATCGTTAATGAAGCTGGCGAGTAAGTTATTAATGGATCTTATTGTGCTGGAAACATTAAACAACGACACTGCTTCACCATCTGATTGAAGATATTTATTGAGATATTCTAATAGATATTCTAGAATCTGTACAAAATAATCAAGGATAGATTTCCGCAGTTCTGCTTCCATGCTATGACTTACAGAAATCTTTTTTGACGACACTTCTGATTGCTTAGAATCTCCTCCGTCGACTAAAACTCCCTTGTGCTTCGTAACGGAACTAACAAACAAGTGAAGCAGCTCCGCTAGACCAATTAATGGCGATCCATTCTTCTCAGCTATCATCTTCTCCACCTTATCGAATAGGTGTCTATGATAACTTTTAATCGCAATTTTTTCCTCCTTCACTGTTGCTGTCACTTCAGAAGAATTTCTATATCTATTACTACTCTGTAGGTTGAGAAATCCGTCAATGTGAGTTGGGTGGAACAGCCCCTGAGCTAAAACTTCTTCAATCAGTTTAGGTAAATTCGTCCATTCGATGCTACTGCCCCAAGAACTAGAATGTAGCACATGTGACGAGTGCAGAAGTGGCACAAGAAGCTTATCAATGAAATTATGGAAATTGTTTTTACGTGTTGGATGAAGCCTCAAAAACTTGGCAAATGGCTCAAACAAACAGCACGATAACTGCAAGACGAAATAGCCTAGCTTGCTGCTCTCGAGCTGCATTTTAACAACTTCCAATACGAGTTCAAGCACTTTATCCATGAGCAAAATCCACAAGTCCATATTCTGATTTGCAACTCCACCATGGGATGAGAAGACCAATGAGATACAATCAAGGGCAACTTCATAAAGTTGCAGTCGCTCGACTGATGTTCCCTCACAACATAAGGACATGTTATTTAGATTAGATGATGCGTCCATTGTAATGGAATGAATCACCCGTAACAAGTCCTTATAACATATCAATTGAAGATGAAAGGTTTTCGACTTCTCCAAGCAGAAATGAAAAATCTTCCAGCACTTAAGATCCAAAACTGAACCAGAAGCTCCAAACTCAGGTTTCTTTTCTTCAAGTTTCGTCTTCTTTTCGGAAGATATGAGAACTGACTGAACCCAATCATTGAGGAAAACTATTGTCCTTGACGTACTTATTACCTGCAAGGTCTGACGAGTATCATCCATCTCCTCAATACTGTTTGATTTCACATAATCAAACGCCACATCGACCTTCCTGCATTTAACATATCCAATATTAGGTTTGCAAACACGATTTTAAGTTGTAAACACAAACATAACCATGCATTCATCCAAGTTAGATGAACCAATTTTCACAAAATTTCAGCAGCATATTCACACTTCTATGAGCAAAATATCAAATATTGGAGGATGGCAACAGTGTGTTCTTATTAGTGTTTCAAAGCCGGATATTGATGCACGGTATAAAGAACAATTAACTCGCAGCGACTTCGTTGCTCAGACTTTCTTGCTCAAATAGAAAGGTTTCACTTCTTAACTAACTTAATTAAGTTGACACCACTAAAACTCAAGTTTTACTTTAACTTAATTTTCCTTTCATAAACGCAAGCTGGTAATTTTTCCCTGTTTCTATGCTAACACAAAACCAATTCAACAGATAAACACGAATGAGTGAATTAACCGAACCTACAAACTCAATTTACACACCCAAAATAAATTATTGATAAACTAAACGTACTTTATAAGGTCGATGTTTTTATCTTGTAGCGACAAAATCAACTGCAAACTATTCCACGACGAACTCTCTTTGATTTCGCTCTCTCTATCCGATTGGTGTACACGAGTAACCTTTTTGTCTTTCCGCACTTGTTCAACACTATCGGTGCTTCTCTCCTTCCTTTTCTTCTTAATTGGCACTGGTTCGGAGCATGGTTCGGCATAACCGACCTTTCGCCGCCGCTTCGGTGGAATACTAGCCTCCATAACAACGTTCCAAGTTCTAATCTTAGTACCGGTGAAATTGATTGTTATTGCCGGACGGAGCTTGTATTTCGCCGGAAAATTGGTGCAGGACTAACCTCGTACTATTGCTACTTGTATTTAACCGCTATTATTGTGCGCGTCGGCGGCGGCGTAACGGTGAAGATGGCGGCCGAGCAAGTAAACCCACAAAACGGTGAGCAGAAAAAGAGCTGCCTTTAAAAGCTG